ACTCAGCTGCTTGTGGTAGATCCCACCATGGAGTTGATTGCCAGTCTCATCATGGGGAACAACTACAACCAGCTTCCCAGCCACTCAACCAGGCCTACCCAAGTTGACAACAAACATAACCACTGCAGATATCCCTTAGTTTTTGTTCTCAGCAATAATGGCCTGATACAACAGCAGTTGCAGGAACTGTAATTTTTCCACCTGTACCTGATGCCTGATAAACAGCCTTGCTAGTTTTCGCTTTCTTATTCTTTGCAATGCATCTAAGGTATTTGACTGCTAACCAGAAGGCTGGCAGTTCAAACCATCAGCCACTCCTGCGAAGGAAGATTGAGCAAACTATTTCCATAGTGATACTGCCTCAGAAACTCAAGGAAGGGTCGCTATGAGTCGAATCCGACTCCACAGCAGTGAGTTTGTTTGTTTGTTTGTTTTTTAATATTCTTTATAACACAATGTTCCCCAATCTTTCATCAGATTTTACAGTGGAAATTATCAGGCAACCAAGGATTGTTGAAACTACGCAAAGGAAATTGTCCTTTAAAAGGACAAATGCAAGGAAACCCTCAATGAGACCCAGGTAAGATATAGAATCTGATGACCTCTTCTTCTCCAGGAACAAGCTCTCTCTTTAATCTCAACATGTCTATTGATGAACTTATCTTTCTCTGTGTAGTTTTCCAGACCTTTTTTTTTTTCATTGATTACACATATACCGTATTTTGACACTTGTGTGCTTTATAGATTTTTTGCCAACTGTTCCCTCCCTTTATGTGGTATTTTCATAAGCGTGTTATGCTTTTTTTCTCCCCTGTTCAGCATGTTGCTGTAAAATAGTTACCACAACACACTTATAAAAATACCTTGTGTGTGCAGGGGAGGATTCAGTTGGCAAAAAAAAACTTATAGCACACACTTTGTTGTTGTTGTTGTAATATGAGATCAAGTAGATTTAGACTCATAGCGACCCCTCCTTGGGTTTCAGAGGCAGTATCACTACAGAAGTAGATTGCCCCATCTTCCTTCCAAGGAAGGAGTGGCTGGTGGGTTTGAACCACCAGCCTTCTGGTTAGCAGTCAAATGCCTTAGGCACTATACCACCAGAGCTCCTTAGCACACACGTTACTTGTGTAAAAATATGTATGCATTTTTGTATTTTAAATCTTTGTTTCCTAAAATTGGCATGTTGCTGTTGTTGTTAGGTGCCGTCAAGTCGTTTCCACTCATAGTGACCCCATGCACAGCAGAACGAAACACTGTCCGATCCCGTGCCACTTCCACTTCCCTTAGCTCAAGTGATACCTCTAAAATTGGCATGTTGTTGTTGTTGTTGTTGTTATGTGCCGTCGAATAGTGACCCCTCCTTGGGTTTCCAAGGCAATATCACTACAGAAGTAGATTGCCCAGCCTTCCTTCCAAGGAGTGGCTGGTGGGTTTGGACGATCAGCCTTCTGGTTAGCAGGCACTTCACTACACCACCAGAGCTCCCATATATTAGACAGTAACTTTATATTTTCAACTTAATAAATTTTTGTGGACATCTTTTCATGTTAATATGTATAGTTTTATCTCCTTTCATAGTATTGATGTATCATGATTTACTCTTTCAATGGACATTTACATTGTCATTAATTTTTCATTGTTATAAATGTTACCACAGTAAGCATCTTGGTACATATAACCTTGCTTGTTTTGTGTTATTCTCGATTATTTATATACTACTGTGGTAGTCTTTTAACTATTTCCTTATTTCCTATCTCTATCTTTTATCATCAATTCTAGAATCAGCCTCTAGTAAAGTCCCACTGCTAGGGAAATAATCTGTGGACTTACCTTCCAGGAATCTTCATCCCATCTTTTTTCCACTTCCCTTAGCTCAAGTGATACCTCTACATAAAAGTTCTCCAAATTTATGTTTGGTATGTCTTCCCCACCTATGAAACTCTGAACTCCTGAAGATGCCAAATACTTACAATGTACACATTTTACTGCTGCTCACTTTTTAAAGTATATTTCTCATCTTCCTAACTTCACTATGATTTTCTTGAAGGTCATGGCATTCATTCACTAATTCATTTTTTACTTTTATTTTTAATTTTTTTTCTCAGTTCATTTTTTAAAAAAAATTATTTTGTTGTTGTTTTGAGAATATACACAGCAAAACATACACCACCAATCCAACAGCTTCTACCTGTACAATTTAGTGACAATGATACTATTTTTCAAGTTGTGCAACCATTCTCACCCTCCTTTTCTGAGTTGTTCCTCTTTCATTACCAGAAAATGACTGTCCACTAAAGTTCCTATCTAATCCTTCAAGTTGCTATTTGTCAATTTGATTGCATATAGATAGTTCTTAAAAGAGCATAACACTCAATCAAGGCAGACATGTTTTACTGATTAAGCTAAACTATTGTTTGGTTTTCAGAAGACTTCAGGAGATATGTTTGGTTTAAAGTTTAAAAATTTTATCAGGGCAATAGTGTCATGGGTTCATCCACCCTCCATAGTTCCAGAAAGTCTAGATTCCATAAAAATTTGAAATTCTGTTCTGCATTTTCACCCTTTTGATCAGGATTCCTGTATAGAATCTTTGATCCAAATGTTCAGTCATGGTATCCAGACACCATCCAGTCCTTCTGGTATTATGGCACATATTCATGGAGTCAATTAGCCACACATCTATACATTCCTCCTATTCCTGTCTCTCCTTCCTCTGTGGCTCCAGGTGAATAGATCATTTTCATTGTTGTAAATATATCTATCACACAGCTTTTGCAATTCAACTTTTTATAGGTACACAATTTATTGACAGCAATTACAATAATCAGCTGTACAATCTTACCCTTGATCAATGAGAATTTTCCATTGCCCTTAGCCCCCTTTTTCCCTCTTCCTCCTGCCCCTGGTAACCACTAATAACCCTTGGTCTCCATACATTTGTCTTTTTAATAAGTGAATTCTTATGATATTAGTCCTATTGTGAGTGGATTATTTAGTCAGCTTAATGCCTTCAAGCTCCATCCATCCCATAGCACACATCAAGACTTTCACATTGTGTTTATCCATTCATCTGTTGATGGGCATTTAAGTTGTTCCCATCTTTTGGCTATTATGAATAGTGTTGCAATGAACAATGGTGTGTAAGTTTCTGTTTGAGTCTCTGCTTTCAAGTAGAATTGCTGGGTCATATAGTAGTTCTACTTTCAATTTTTTGAGGAACTGCCACACTGTTTTCCACAACAACTATACTATTTTGCATTCCCACCAGCAATGTATAAGCATTCTAATCTTCCCACAGCCTCACCAACATTTATTATTTTCTGTTTTTTGCTTTTGTTTTGTTTTTTAATCTCAACCATCCTAGTGAGCATGAAATGGCATCACCTTGTGGTTTTTATTTGAATCTCTCTGATGGTTAATGATTCTGAGTATCTGTTCTTGTGTTTGGTGGCCATTTGAATGTTCTCTTTCATGAAACATCTATTCAAGTCCTTTCCTCATTTTCTTATTGGGTTTTATTTTAAGTATTTACTTTTTGGGTTTTTTAAAAATACTATTTTATTTTGTTTTTGGTGAAAGTTCATGCAGAAAATTAGGTTCACATTTAATAATTTCTACACAAATTGTCAATGACATTGGTTACATTTTATACAGTGTGTAACATTCTCATTGTTTCCATTCTAGTTCTTCCCTTTCAAGTAATCTAGTTTCCCTTCCCCTTCATTCATTTACATTTTCATTCAATAATTATCTATTAATTACTAGCTTTATGAAAGATATTCTTCTAGATGATGGTATAAGCACAATAAATCTAGTTATCCTAGTCACTGGTAGAATATTTTGAATAGAAAATGTTTTCTATAAGAATATTTTCCGGAGGTTCCAATAAGATGGCAGAAGAGACAGACAGACCGCACAAACACTCTTCAACAAAGAAAAGGGGAACCATTTAACACAAATATAGAGAATAACCCTGGATTCCTGAGCTTTGAAGGGAAGGATGTAGAAGTGGGCTAAACTCCAACTACCAGAAGAACCTGTATGAAAACACCCAAAGAGGAGACATACAGAGCTGCAGTCTGTCAGCAATCCTGATGTCATGGAGAGCTTGGATATTGCCAATGGTGTTAGGACCTAAGAATTTACCTAAAAATCGGATCTGCTAGCCAGGGGCTGCACAGAGAACTTACTAGTGGCTGGTGAATAAAAGAGGAAGCAGTAAAGAGGAATGTGGGCTTTTGCCTGTCCAGAGGGCACAGCCATTTTGAAAGTTTACAAGCAGTTTGACCATTTTGGATATTTAAAGTGACAGCATTTGCCCAGATTCGAGGGACTTAAGAACAGGCCCCACTTGGTGTGAACCACAAGGACATTCCAGACATGAATGACTAGAAAGTTGCAATATTCCCCTTGGAATATACCTCACACCCACTAAGTGAACAGAGGTGAAGCCGTCCCTCACTCCCACCCACCTTCTGGGCCGGCAGGAATTCCATCTCAGTTTCTATGTTTGTTTGGATGGAGCCTGGGTGCCCTACCACACCCTGCCCAGATTTTATTTTCCTTTTCTTTAATGTGTTTGTTTTAGTCTGTTTTAAAATTATTATTGTTGTTGTTGTCCTTTTTATTATTATTCTTTATTCCTCCCTTCCCATGTTCTACTTTTCAGGTTTTTCTCTCATCCCTGTTCCTGGTTCCCATTTTATTCTTTCTCATGGTTAATTCCATTCCTTGTTTTTCTTTTTACACTTTTCCCTTTTTTTCTTCAGTATTCTCCTACTCTACCTTTTTTCTCTTACTGCTCTCTCCTCGGATATTGTGAGGTTTTTATTTATTTACTTTTGTGGTTATCACTGTGTGTTTGTGCGGTGTGTTTTTTGTCCATTTGCTTTCACTTTTTTGATGATTTTTTGATTGCTGTTTTGTCTAACTGAGTAGGAAACAGCAACAGTGCCCATATGACACAACTACACCCACACCTCCTGCAGCTTCACTTACTGAGTAAGAGACACCACTTCCTTCTCCACCAAATGGCCAACGATAAATGACCACCAAGAGGACCCTGGCTCACCCTTAGCTGCTCTTCACAAACAGTTAACAGAGGTCAAAATACAACAACATCACAATGTCTCAGAGACAACAGACCACTGCAGTCCACACAAAGAAGCAAGATAAAGTGGTAGAAACAAGGGAGCAGGATACAGACCCAGAACACATCCCTGAGGAAGAAGCAGCATTGGAACTCCCTGATAAGGAATTCAAAAGAATTGTACATAGATATCTTGAAAGGATTGAGAAACAGGTCAAGGAAAACACTGACAAAATTATGGAAAACACAGACAAAACCCTAGAACAATTCCAGAAGAAAATACAAGAACAAAATGACAAAATAAATGAAAAATTAGAAATGATTCTAAATCTACAGAGAGAAATCCAGAAGATTAATACTAAATTGTCAGAAATAGATAACACATTGAAAGGGCAAAGGAGTAGAATTGATGCAGTGGAAGACAGAATTAATGAGATTGAAGACAAATACCTGAATACTTCTTTGGAAAGGGATCAATTGGAAAAAAG